CMMAGTTGAAAAACAGTCCTCTTGATGTATGGAACTGCTTGAGATTAGATGCAAACCAGAAAATAAACAAACAAGAGATGATTAAGAGGAAGAAGAGAGAGAGAGAGCTRGCGGCAATGAGAGTTAGAGAGTGAGAGGTTCGAACTAAACCTCCCTCTAACACTCTAAACATTTTATCAAGTTAATCTTTGAAATATTACAGAGAGGCCCTTGAGTGGGCAAGAAATTACAAAAAACAGAATATTACAGAGTATGGGCCCAAAATAAGGCCCAGAATAACATAACATGAAATGACAGTCTATGGGCCATTCGGCCCATCTCCTCTACAATCACTTCAAAAGCATTGAGAAAGAGAAAGAGAGAAGGTTGTCAACTTCTATAGCAATGCATTTGGTGGTGATAATTCACTCTCTAAGATTGTGTTTGGTACCATTGCCACTTCTACTTGCAACGTTTTAAGGTTGGTCAATGCAAATATGAGTATTATTTTCTACCACAAATGTTTTGAATTATCAATACAACATTTGATACCATTGTTGTTTCTTCAAGAAACAACAAATTTGGTGTTTCTACTATAAATGCCAACACCGAATCTAGTGCTTATATTTTTTTAGTGGAAGTGGTTATATGATGTGATGCACCAAGACAATTTCTCAAAAATTTGTATTGACCAACCTAAAACGTTGCAAGTAGAAGTGGCATTGGTACCAGGCACAACCTAAAATTATTATTTGAATATGTACCAGCATGCTACCATTTTGTATTACATTACCATAGAGTCCAATTCCCATATTACCTGTGAAACCATAAGAGACCATGAAACTTCAATGGTAACCATAAGCTAGGTTTCACAACTCATCAATCAATCAGAATCTTGAAAATGTCATAAAAGGGCAGCTCAGTGCACAAGGAATTGGACTTGAAATTGCATATATTTCTATTACATATGTAGCATCCGAAATGATATTTTCTTATATCTTTCATTTTCTATGGTTTAATCTCACATTAAACTCATAAGAATGTAGTTTATCATCACAACCCTCCATCCAGAGGAACATAATAAGTCGGGCCACAACCCAATTACTTCTCCCCTGACATAGTCCCATCAATGAGTTGGGTTCAGATCAGATATACTTAAATCAAATTTCCACCCAATTAATACTCGAATTAGAATAGAATCTGATTGGTTGGATACTGATTAGATTCAGATACTATTTCAGTAAACCCTATGTAAAAGAACAAATGGAAGATTTCATTTTATTGACAGTTTTTTTTCATTAACTGCCTTTTTCTAATAAACTGGTTAGTTCTATTTATATCCCATATACTATCTTTAAATATTTTGGAGTGGCGTTTCTAATCTAACAAAAAAAAAAGTTAAATTGATTTACATTTTATTTAATATCATTCATTTGTTAGGGGGTTAAAAGTAGTTAAAAGGGTGGTGTAGGCAGCTGAGCCAGCCTAAATTGAAGGGCCCATGCTTTTGTATATAATCTAATATTTCATTATTTTAATAAAATTTGAGTTAAGTTATTCATCAAAAAAACAAATATCATTTATGCAGAACACTTTAACTTGATCTGATATCAACAACACTTGTGATGATAATTGTGATATCAAATGTAGCTTATTCTGTCCCATTGTTGTCAGACTTGGATCAAATGCAAAACTGCTCTGGTTACTGGGTCATGGATTAAACATTTCAACTATCAAGATTAACCACTTGACTTATTCAAATAAAAAAAAGTGTAAAAATCAGAATTTTAAAAGTAAATGATTCTAAATTATCTTGTACAACCATTTTAAATCAAAATGAGCTTAAAACAATAACTTTGACCAAATCAACGTTTCTAAGAACCATGCATGCTGAAAACTGTTTTAGCTACTATTCTCACTTCCCAGTCCCAGAAGTTCAACCATCTTCTCTATTCCAAGTA